GATTGTTCCGAATTTACTTAAAGTATTCGTAAGCATTGAAATGACTGGACAAAGCGTAGAGTTTGAACAAAAATTTAACTATCGACGACCAATGTACGTTGTTATGGAGTATTTGTGGAAATTACCAGAGCATCGTAATAATTTTGTGTAAGCGAAAAGCAAAAATAATATATTATTTGAGGGTAGTATTAAACAGTAATAATTGATTGGAAATAATATCAAAACTGAATGCTTATCTTATAGTTGTTTAGCTGAAGAAGCAGAAGTCAATATGCAAGCAGCTCAACCTCCATTATTTTTACGTTTTATAAATCTTTTGATAAATGATGCAGTTTTTCTATTAGATGAAGCACTTTCAAGCATGGCCAAATTGAGGCAATTGATTCAAGCAAGGTATTGAATTTCGCCATTGGCCTTTGATTCAATTAATATTAAGTTTGTATTAAGTTTGATTGTCGTGCTATCATAGAGGGCAAGCATTAAAAGGGAAAATGGAGAGTGGAATAAGCTACCACAACATGAACGCGACCAACAGGCTGTTTATCTTGTACATCTTGGAATGATTGCTCGATTTGACAATATATTAGGTAGAAAAACGATATACGCGTTAAAAATGTTAACTACAGAAATAAAATCAATTTTTTGTCATCCAATAATGGTGGATCGCATTGCTTCGATGCTTAATTATTTGCTACTTCAGTTGGTTGGACCAAATAAAAAAAATTTGAAGGTAGGAAGTGAAACAAAGTATTTAAGTAATAAGAATTGATTTCAATATATATGTATATATAGTTATTTTGGCAAATTTTTGTAATTTTAGGTGAATGGACAGACGGAATATGCGTTTAATCCAGCAAATTTATTATTAAATATATGTGAAATTTATATAAATCTCAGCGAAAGCGAATCCTTTACACTTGCTGTTTCTCAGGATGGTCGTTCATACAGTCCAGAATTGTTTAAACTGGCCGATAATGTTCTTGGTAAGTAACTGGTGGTTATTATCAATTTCAGCTTTCATTATAAGTGGTACAATAAGCAGTAAATAAATAAAGGATATTTAAAATGTATTACGGTTAATAATAACATTTTAGTTCGTATTGGTGGGGTTGGTATATTAGGAGATTTGGATCAATTTGCAAAAAATGTAGAGGCGGCGGCAAGTCAGAAAAAAGAGGAAGATGAAATGTTAGTTAATGCTCCCGATGAATTTCTCGATCCAATTATGTCTACTTTAATGACAGATCCTGTTATACTTCCATCATCAAAGATAATTATTGATCGACAAACAATTGCGAGGTAGTATTTGTTTGTTATTACGATTACTAGGTAGCGTGGTTTGTTAGAATAAAGTGTATTTGATTAGTTTTGTTGGTACTACTATTTAGGCACTTATTAAGCGACCAAACTGATCCGTTCAATCGATCTACCCTTACTATGGATATGGTAAAATCAGACATTGAACTTCAACGTAGAGTACAAGAATGGATACGAGAGAAGAAAGCAAGGAAAAACGGGAAATTGTCGTTGGTTCTAAAAGAATAAAAGTTTGGGAATTCTGTTATGGAAAATATGTTTCTTAGGTTGGAATATTCTTTGGATGGATTAATAAGAATTGAATTTCCACGATTTCAGATAACAAATAAAAGAAAGTGTTTCAAACGGCAAATGGCCAGTGTTTAATATTGTTTAATTCACATTTTGTTAGGTTATTGTTTAAAAATGTTGATCGATTACTATTAAAATTGAAGAAACAATATAACAGTTGTAAGAAATATATCGCCTGTGTTTATAGAACACTGACAAGTTCATTAAAATCGGTAATAAACCAGGAAGATTGCAGCTTGACACTCTCTCTGATTACATTTCCTCCGTATCCTACACATAGTAAAAAGGATATTAAGAATGAATAAAGTAAGAAAAATGATATAAATTGTATAAAAGATAAAATAAAATAAAGAAGTAGACGGTAAGAAGAAGTGGAAGGTGTGCATGTGTGTACCTATAAATAAATCTGCTATTGAAATAGTTTCTAAATCTGTTGCTCCATCCCCGATATGTACAACAGTTTTAAATCCCTTCTCCTTTTTGAGGTATTCAATCACTTTTGTTTTTCCACCACTGTCCGCAGTGGGTTGATCTTCGTCAAATCCTGCATATTCACCTATGGCAATGGAAATTGATAAAATATTCAGATGTAGGAAATGAAACACGATTATTGTAGAAATAAGAAAGAAAAAGGAAGTTACCGGTGAAGTAGAATTTAAGTCTATTCGCAAAAATATTCTCTAATGGAATATCAAGAGCTGTGGCAACTGGTGCAATTAAAGAATGAAATCCACCGGATATGAAAAATACTTGTTTGTTACGTGTTCGTAAAGCTGTTATCAATGTTCTGAAATGTTTTGGAAAAATTTGAAAGCAAACGATATAAAATTCTGATCGATTTCAATTACTTCTTACTTAATTCCAGGAGAAAGTTTGATCGGATGAGAAGCTATAAATTGTTTGATTTGCATAAAACTTGGTTTTATAATATTCAGCCTTTCTAGCAAAGATTGTCGAAACGTTAGATCTCCTCGCATCGCTCGGTGTGTTCTAAAATCACTTGGAATTAGCAGAATTGTACTGCTGCGCATGTTAAAACACGGCGATGGATGCGTAACGAAGGTTAACTGTGTTAAAAATATGAAATTGTTGGATGAAAAAGGAGAAATGGAAGAGAAAACTTACAAGGCAACGACATCATTTTCTTTTCCACAAAATTTCGCGAGTTGATCGATTCCTTCTTCTTGTATCACGGTGGAATCAACATCGAAAGTAACTGCATCAGCGTTCCTCCATATCAATCTTGTCTGGTTTAGATGTTCCATTTATTTCTACAGTATGCAACGCAACAGGTGGTACATATACGTACTATATGTAATACGTTGTATCGAAATTTGATTACCGTGGCAAATATAAAGCAGCTAACGATCAAAGCTTGTCTCTACGAGGAAGGATACGAAAGAAATATTTCCATGCTTGCTGAAACTTTAAACACCGATAAGAAAGTTGTAATATACATAAGTACATAAATACATATGTATTTACGTAAACAGATTTATTACGAAATCTATTACGTTGTTTTCCGGTCATGTTAAAATGTAATTAGATACAGATTATTAGAATAGAAAGAAGTTGGTATTTTGAAAAAATTTGAATATTTCACCGTTGTGAAAAAATATTAATGCATTTCGAGGTTAACAAGAGGTTGTTTTCGATACACCATGGAATTTGTTAGAAAGCAAAGGTAACAAAGAAAATGATTAACGTGGGAAGGGATAAACGATATTATACGATGTATAAAACGATATATACAAAATAAATGAAGATAAAAGAAGACAAAGAATAGGAGGCTATTTAAGAAGTGGAGTAGAATGAGTAGAATAGAATGGAATGGAATAGAAGGAAGAATAATTAGAAATAAATGTGCCCATGATTTTTTTCGATGCACGAGTGTGTGGGTGTAAGATATTTTTTGTTTGATTCGATCAAGAGAAGGAAGGGTAAAGTTTTGGAAAAACGGTGTTTCGTCGACGCACATATGTAGATAAATACGTAGCAGAAGCGTTTTGATTATCGAAAAATGAAAGGAACGTACGATAAATCGAGATATCGGACGAGAGAAAAGAAAAAGAAAGAGCGACGGCCGCTGTATGGAGTGTTACCGGCACGGCACGACGCGGTATGCCTCGGTCGAGTAACGTGCTGCGCTCTGGTTAGGAACTGCAATGTTATCGAGGTGGTGGTATCGATGAATAGAGCAAAGCGCACGATGAGAAAATGAAAAAGGGTAGTCGAAGATCGGGAGACTAACGGAAGTTATTCCATAATAGTGCGTCGGGTGGCGTTCGTACGGTTTGATGCGTGCAGGCGTGCGCGGCCGGGCGTCGCGATCATCGGAAGAAGGATCGAAAAATAGGGAGGGCAGTCGGTTGCGAGCATCATCGAGGGTCGCGCGACCTATCGCCGATCGCGTCGTTAACAACGATGATTCTTCCCGAGTCATTTCGAATCGAACAAACGGAGAATAATATCGGAGAAGATAATTGAGAAAGTTTGAAATCGATTTTGAAAATAAGCGAGAGAAGGGAGAAGAGGGTGAAAGAAAGAAGAGACGCGCGCGAACAAGAACTCGCGATGCGGTTAATCGGTAATCGGTTAATTCGCGTAACTTTGTCGATTCTGGTGGTTTATCGGGAGTTGAGAGAGACGAAAGGGGAGAAAATGGAGATTGGGAAGGAGTTTGTAAATTCGTCGTCGTTTTGTCGTCCGTTTCCTGAGATGATCTTGGAAGGGAATAAAATTGGTAGATTGAAGAACGGAAGTTTAGTGCACGATAAATTGGTTTATCCGATCGGATGGTATCGCGTGGAGGGAAACGAGACGTACGGATGCATGTGTAACTTGCGAGGGTGCTTGAAAAAATGTTGCAGACGAAACGAGATTTTAGGGGAAGGCGATCGGCCGAACTGTACTCGACTGTCGGACGGTGCACTCGCACCGGATCTCGTTCTCGAAGAGCACCAACTCGCGAGCGAGATACACGGGATCTCCCGTATAAGCGATCTGTTCGTTCTGGTGGAGGACATGACGTGTCCGGAGAACACGTACAAGTACATGCTCGAGCCGGAACGTTACGAGGAGGACGCGTTCGTTCTGCAAGCGAACGGCACCCTTGGAACCTGGTCCACTAAGTTTCCGGCATCCACCTATTGCCTCGACTGGAAAGAATCCTTCGAGAAGATCGTCGCACTCGTTTGTTTCTCCACCAACGATTCTTCCTCTTCCTCTTCGTACGAGGAGGAGGAACAGCAGCAGTCTTACAAGATCGGTATCATCGTTTCTATTCCCTTTTTCTTCGCCACTTTCTTCGTCTACGCGATCATCCCGGAATTGAGGAACCTCTACGGCAAGACCCTAATGTGCTACGTCGCTTCCCTGGTACTCGCCTACACTTTCCTCGTCTTAGCTAAGCTGTTTTACCTAAAATTCGCCTTCTGCCTGACCATAGGTAAGTTTTTCCGTGTGTAATTCCATACATTCCACCGGTCTATTTTCATCTTTGAACGGTCATTCAGATCGAAGCCTAACTCTACAGGCCCCTTTGTGTGGTTCGTTCTCAGGAGCGCAGTGATATCGTTCGAATCGTTCGTTGCCGCGTCTCTACGTTTAGCAAATACAGACATACTTACACGTCTATTTTTTCCGATGAACAGCGTAAACTCTTATCAAGCAGATATACCGGTTTTTGCTTCCACTACGATCGCTTCGATTGGTAGGAGGATGATGCGTAATACACGCGTTGCCGACAGTCAGTAGCGTGCCGATCGTTCACGCGAGGACACCTTTTCTCTAAACGACCAACCTGCCTAAGAAAAATCGACAGAAATTCGTGCCATCACGGTTCGCTATTTCGCGACAGCGACAGCAGCCGGATCGTGGAGGAGACAAATCGCAAGGATCGGTTTTTCAGTTGCGCGCGTGACGTGTCGCCTTTGACCCGTATACGTGGTATACGTGTATACTCGCGTTCCACTCGTTTCGCTTTTTCTCGGATAAAGAGATCTCTTCTGTGGCTGTGGAGGGGGTAGAGGTTGCCCTTCGATCGTTTCGGCGGCACTGGCCGAAAAACGAAATGTCTTCTTCGCACCGTCGCGTTTATCATTTCAGATAAGAGTAGACGACGCGAGGCGTAGTAATTTAAAAAATTGCAAAGAGAAGAAGACGGAGGAAAGGGGGGATTGGTCGCGGCGTTGACACGTTTCCGCGTAAAGCGATAATGTTTGCGGTCATTATGAATCGAAAGGAATCGTGGTGGTAGTCGGCGAGCGAAAACCTAGCTACGAAGATGTTGGTTGTGAATCGGTATCGTTCATCCTCAGTCATCCTCGGGATTGGTTTGTTAACGGTGGTGACGATCGTTGGGATAAACGCGATCGACGAGGATTCGTCGAATGTCGGGGAAACGAAGGGAAAAAGAACGCGCGTCCCGTTGTGTTGCCCGGACGCGAGTCGTCTCACGAGCACACGATGCGTCCAAACGAACGACACCTTCCCTTTTCCGCCGCTTTACGATTCCCGCTTGCTCACCTTGATCAACCAAATACCGGACCGACACCGCGACTTGGATCTCTACGTTCGAAATCCCTGCGAAGGCGGTCAACGTTATCAACTCAGTCCGGACAGGTATCCGGACGATGCGTTCATGCTTCTCGACAATGGTACCATCTACAAGCAGAACGAGAAGACGATCCTCCAAGAGAGGGAATATTGCTTCGGCGTTGTCGACACCGACGCCTATAACGTGATCCTTTGCTTCGATTTCGAAGATGATCAGGCAGACACGGAGAAAATCACGGTAGTCTTTCCCGTCGGATTGATCGTCTCGGTGCCATTCCTCTTCGTCACCTTTCTCGTCTATACGCTCCTACCGGAGTTAAAAAACATGCACGGTCGCACTCTTCGCGGATACATCGGCTCTCTACTTGTCGCCTATGTGGTACTTGCCGTCGTACAGATCTCTCCGCAGGAGCAAATCTCAGATCCCTTGTGCATCGCTTTCGGTACACCGATATTTTCACACAACACCTCTCTCTCATCCATTCACACCACACCAGTGCCGCATATGCTTCTCACAAATATAGCTTTTCCATTATGTTTCAGCGTTCGTTATCCACTTTTCCTTCTTGGCTAGCTTCTTCTGGCTAAACGTCATGTGCTTCGATATTTGGTGGACATTTGGGTAAGTTGACTTTCAACGCAATTTCCGTCGCAATGTAATTTTCCTATCGGAATATACGCCCTAATCGCTCCGAGCTTATTCTACGAACCGAAACGTGCCCCGTCTAACGCGTTGCAAATGCTATCCATTATTCCTCTGCCCGAGGAAATTCGATAGTTGACGAACGTCGAGGAAAATTGATAGCGGTATAACGAGAATTAATATCCGGTTCGTGACGGCTCGTGTATACTCTGCAAACATTCTTAAATTAAGTTGGATCGGTCCACCACCGAGCAAACGACCACGCGATTCCTCTTCTCTCCACTTATTTTATCTAAACGGCTCTTTTCCCTTCGCTCTATATTATACTACGTTGTACGATCATTCTTGCAACAAACCGAACTGTCTAATATACCCATCTCGCAAAGAAACGTGCCATCCCGATTCTTTTCTCAGTTGAAATCTTATAAAACTGCCTTAATATTCGTATGTGTCTGTGAAGCAGCACCACCAAACAAGGTGTACAGCAAACAAATCCCCAAACCTGAGAATCCCTCTTTTCTTCCTCGTTACGCCGATCCACGCCGACGCTCTATCAATTTCACCGAATTAATTAATCAGCAAGAATTTGAAAATGAAACGACCGTGTTTCTTTCCACGCCAACCCTTTCCATTATTCGTCGAATCGCTTTCGTTCAGCTTTTCGAGAGATCGCGCATCGTATAGCCGACATATAGCATACCGGTATTTTTAAACGTTCCACGAATCGACCAGTAACATTTTCTGAAGAGGCTCGCGTGACGAGTATGTCACGTGGGAAAATTCTAACTTACTCCTATCACACGAGCCGGTCTAATATCATTTCTACGTAATTGTTAAAAGAACAGCCCTATTGCCAAGCCCTTTTTATCGTATAAATACAGCTAGGCGTGTACGAGCCAAGGGTGTGGTGTGGCGTGGTGTGGCGACACCCGTCACTCTTCCTTCATATCATCGCCCCGCCCCCATCTACTAACTCCTAACCTAAGTACATACTATATGTATACATATATCACCACCCTTTCTTTTCTACCTCGATCCTCAATCTTATTGAGAAGAAGTACGATACATACTCTGCGAATGAAATTCTTGACGAACGTTGGAAACTTCACACGTCACGTCGTGTTCGCCGCAAGATACGATTGGCAGGAAATGTGAAATGCGTCATCTGAAACCGCAAACTGCACCGTATCGTTTCGTACACCGTACGCGCGCGTAGTCGCAGAAAGAAAGAAGCTGCAAATGCTTTTGCGTTAAAGTGAGATTTTTCAATTTCTTCATTTTCAGAGGTTTCCGATCGCTGCAGGGCAGCGTAAAGCAAAGGGAGCGCAAGAAATTTTTAATATACTCCATTTATGCTTGGGGTTGTGCATCGGTTCTTACCGGAATCTGTGTCATCATGGATTTCCTTCCCGACATCCCGGAATATTTTATCAGACCGGAATTCGGCACGCAAAGTTGTTGGTTCACGAGTAAGTTCTCACGTTGATACTCTTTACTTTTCCCTATCCTTCCCATTTCGGTTCTACTCGATGGGAGAAAGCAGAAACAACGTGTACTATCCAATCAAATCTTATTAACCCTTTGCCTTGTAAATTTTCTAATTAGTTTTCGTTTTACGCACTTTTCAAGCGACTAGTAAATATGATTAATCCATTGAAATATCACAAGGCAACGAGTTAAAATGAAAACTATCCTGATAACAAATGATAATTGTTTATTATAATCGATTATAATGCTATTTTCTGCATAGCGGATAAAGCAAAGGCGATATACTTTTATGGTCCTATGGGCGTCACCGTACTTTGTAACATATGTCTTTTCGTCTCCACTGCGTTGAAGATCGTGCGACATAAAAAGGATACGGCTCATCATCTGAAAAGCATGGACAGTAGGCGCCACGACGACAATAAACAATGGTTCGTTCCCTTTTTATTCGTTTACACGACCAAATGAAAAACTCAAACTACGCGCACATACACACGCGTGCGCCACACGACTAGCCACCCGCAGCGGTTCGTTCAATGGCTTTATTTTCATTTAGTTATATGCCGTATCGACATTACCGCGGCTCTTATTGCCCCTTCACGAGAGTTCAATTATTTTCGGATCTTTTCGTAGACTATTCACGCTCGCTCGCTCGCTCGCTCGCTCGCTCGGCCGCGCGTGAAACAAAGATTCTTCCCATGGCTCGATTTGTTTTCTTAACGGCTGAAGGCGGGTGTTCCTCTCGAGTAATAAATACATCCGTCCGAGCAAGTCTCGCGTACGGTCGCACGTTTCACGCCTTCCTGTCGATCCTTTACTTATACGTATATGCATCTCGGTCGAAACTCTTTCTATCACGTTTACGCGTGTGCCATCATTTTACGATACACCAAACCTCTTTCTGCATACATATTATACACGTATCAACACTAAACTTTAACAATTTCTCCTTTCGTCGTCTTTCTCTCTCAATTTTAATCCGTTTTATCCAGGTTCAATTTATACTTGAAACTGTTCATCGTAATGGGCATTAATTGGTCGATGGAGATAATATCGTGGCTGTGCAACAACTCACCGACGTACATTTGGTACCTTACAGATCTTACCAATACCTTGCAAGGTGTAATCATTTTCTTGATTTTCGTTTGGAAGGATAAAATCAGACGGTTGCTCGTAAAAAAGTTCACTTGTCACCAAAGTAACATTTTATCCAGAAACTCTACTCGCAGTGCTTGCCATAGTTCAGCGGCCTCTCGTACCTGCACGACATCGGCGACACCGGTTCAGGAGAAGATCACAGTTTATTCCAACGAATCTTCTCACGGCAGAGCAACGTTTAATAATTAACCGGTGAGATTAGAACGGGCAGCAATGTTCAAACATGTTGTATGTTGCACGCACGAATGCGTGAAAGAAAATCTTGAATGAACGAAGAAGAAGGAACGAAAGGAAAGCGAAGAAATTTACGTTGAGAAATTAGTGTATTTTCTTCTTCTTCTTTTTTTTATTTTTTATACCGCACATGCTATTCGATTGATACTCGATGGAAAGGTCGGTCGACGCAGAAAATGAGAACAAAATATGTTCAGTGGGAATTTCACCGAAGAATATCTAGTCATCACCGATCCGAGTTACCTTTGGAACACGTTCGGTATTGCTACACTCTATCGTCGTCTACATATATTCACATATGAAAGATTTAAGCTTAATTAAATACCAGTATATCGTATGTTCGTTAAGAATATAACTTCTACCCTGCCATACGTGCTTTCTTCTCATAACCAATAAGTTCTAGTATTAAAAACTGTATTCACGTTTTATGTCATCAAGTGTATCGAATTGTGCTTTTATAAGCTAAGAAAGTAACAAAACAGTGTCGTTATGTATCTCAAAAGAATGTGTATTATCTGAAAATTTTGTACATTTTCCGTACATACACGTCTGAATTAAACACGAATTATACATATATTTTATTTTAAAATGATATTAAAGTATAGTACAAAATAATTAATATCTAAAATAATATTACACCGAGCTTATCGATTAAACTATGCTACTACAAGTCCGTAACCGTGTTATTCGTGTCAAATGCATAAACATCTAAACACCATTTCTCACCCGTTTACCACGTACGAACGAAAAGAAACTTTCCTTTCTTTCTTCTTCCCTTCCTTCCTATTTTCCTTTTATATCTTTTCTCATCCCTTTAAGCAAATACATCTTCTCTATCGGCTCCGACGCCTTCTCCATCTTCCAAACTGGAGAAATTTAAGAAATGGGCAGGTCTATGGATCTCGTGATAAAATTCCTTCGGGTTCGCCAATTGCAGTTCGTACTTCATATTCGGATCGTGTCTTACACCTGTGATCGTACGAGAAAAATAACAATTTCATTGTGTCTGACTGTTCATCCCCGTCGACAAACAAGTCGTCTTATACTGTATATACACTAGACAAACAAGCGTGTCTTACCCATAAAGTTATAGTTCCAGGATCCTTGACTCGGAACCATAAAGAAACCAAGGAAACGATCGGACAACAACATTTGTACTTTCTCATAATGACTAGGTAGATAACCTTTAGGATTATTTCCCTTGTCGGTATTTTGCTTTCCCCATTCAAAACCACTGTGAAGTAAACCCAGAGTTTCGTGACAACATACTTTTTCAAAAGTTTACGTATCTTTGGCGTGACGATAATCACATTTCATCCAACAAAATATACAAACCTAGGTGTTAATTTGTACGCTGTAAGGGAACAGGATCCTGGTGTAAAACTGCAAGTAATAACGATAGTCTTTTCTCCATCCCAAATTGGATTTTCTGCCATTATTCGAGCATGCGTAGATATATCCTAACGGAACATGACGAAAAACAAAATAATACAAATTCACACATACTGCGCAATCGAGAATTTACAGCTAATCAATACAACGAGTAAATATGTTACGAACCTGAGGTGATAATTGCGGTAGCTCGTTAGGTTGAGTATGAATCCAACCGAGAGGCTCCATCTCCTTGAGGTATTGGTGATTTGGAAGCGTACTAGGTAAGTGAACCGTTTGATGAGTTCCCCACTGTGGAGCCATAACTATACATCGTATTTCTTTTACTTGTGGATTATCCGGTGGGCTAATACCATACAAATATCCTGCGATCTACACCAGTAATTCAAGACAATGCGTGTACATGTATTTTTAGCAACTTGAATAATCTTGTAACAAATCTTGTATTTATATACCTGTGCTCGCAAGTCCGAAATAGTTACGAATTTCTTGAGAACATTCTTTGGTAAAATGTAAGTGTAACCAGTCTCTTTGATATCGTCCGACGACACGTATATATGATTGGTCCGCAAATGTAAATTAGTAGCAGAAATTGCTCTTACTCGCCATTCTGTCTTCGAACTGAATGTTTGTGTTTCGTAATTGGAAGTCGTAGCTGTGATAATTTCGTCGCCATGTTTGTTCACTGTTCTTGTAGTCGTTGCTGTAAGCTGCGACTGTTCCTTCGTTTGCTTTTCTATTTCAGCGATTTGTTGACGTTGTGCGGATGGTGCGCTAATTTCCATACCCAAGATAATATCTCGAATTTCCGATTGAGTCAGTGACGCGACATTCACACTAAAAACAACAATTTTACAATTTTAAAGCTCTCAAATAGCTATACAGGGTGTCTCGTAACTCCTCGAACACCCGGAAATGGGGGGTTGCTGGAGTGACTCTGAACAACTTTTTCCTTTACCAAAATGTTGTTTGAAGCTTCATTTTTGAATTATTAACGAAAAACACTGGCTAATCAGAGCGCGCGTAGAGTCCGCGCCCAGGCACGGAAGCGCTGACTCTCATCCGCGCGCGATCGTGATCAAATGCGTATAGCTTCGTTTTTGAATTATTAACGAAAAACACTGGCCAATCAGAGCGCGCGTAGAGCCCGCGCCCAGGCACGGGAGCGCTGACTCTCATCCGCGCGCGATCGTGAACAAATGCGTACGCGTGACTTCTCGGTTATCGATCGCTGTCAAAAAATTTTCACTTTGCACCGCTATTTTTATAAGGCTTAGAGAAATGGTTTTTTTGCCGTCATTCCCACGTTTGTATAAATTTTTGAAAAAATTGCAATTAGTCGGAATCGCGCGCGCGCGAATGAGCCTCTGTTCTCCGTCCCTGAGCGCGGGCTCTACGCGCGCTCTGATTGGCCAGTGTTTTTCGTTAATAATTCAAAAATGAAGCTTCAAACAACATTTTGGTAAAGGAAATAGTTGTTCAGAGTCACCCCAGCAATCCCCCATTTCCGGGTGTTCGAGGAGTTACGGGACACCCTGTATACTCTGCACACATATCTGGTTGTGAAAAACAACCAGTCGCGCCACACATACTTGTTCTTCTTTCCGTAATCAGCCAAAATCAGATCTTTCAGTTGTACTTCAACTTTAATCCATTCATCGTCCGTCAAAGAAGGCCATATATGATGTGGTTCTGTTATGGTTGTCTTGTCAGGCTTCAGTACAACTTTTGTTCTTTCAGTGTTAACGTGTAACGCGCGGAGAATAAGAATTAAACGTGAAAACGCCTGTTAAAAAGGTGCGAAACATACAAAATATCAACCCACAAATGTCGATAGAAAAGGGAGGAACAGTTGAAAATGTGGGGAATTAACGATAATTACCGTATACGACGAAATTGTTTTCAACCAGTCGTCGTATAAATTGAATAATACCATTTGTGGTTCTGTTGCTTTCAAGATTAAATCGCCAAACTTTTCGACTTTCAAACAAGCCTGGAACGGCAACTGAAGCTCCGATCCTTTGATAACGATATTAGGGAAATCAAGTAAATGTACTTCCAACGGATCCAACATTCCCTTTCTGGTTACTATAATTTGCTTCGGTTGTTCCTCTACCGGTAAGGATCGAATAAGTGCAGCCACTTCTTCCGCAGTTTTCCACTTTGCCAACTGCAACCAACCGATATAACGTCTCGTTCATGAAACGAGAAAATTCTTTCGTCACAGTTCAGCCTACACGTGCACGTTAAATACATTTCACATACCTGACCTAAACGCTTTTGACCAGCCCAAACGGACGTATGAATAATCTTTAAAAACAATTGACCAGTCCGAGGGTTGAAAATAAAGATCGCTCCATTTATAGGCTTTGTGGTTAAATTGCCCTCGAACGTTTTGTGAATTGTAACGCGATAAACGTTCGTATCGTCCACGAACCTAACAAATTAGATCGATTAGAAACTTTTAAGTGACTCTATCTTTCTATTTGCATACATACGTATGTATGTATATCTAAGGGAAAATATAAATACCAAATGATTTGATTCGAAAACAGTTCTCCGTAATTTTGTGAAGAGAGATACGGTTCTGTAGGTTCCGATGAATAAAGCTGTAACGCTTTTCTAATGCGTTCTCGTAACACGTACAGAGCTGGATTAGCCTTCATTATCTTTGCCATTGCTTGCTGTATAAGAGGTTTACATCCTGGGAACCAGTTACCATACGCGCTATTAAACAAAATTAGTACGTTTAAGAAGCGTAATGGTCTTCTTTTATATACTCTTATACATATACCTATTTAAAAATTATATTCGACCGTTCAGATATGTACCTGTGCAAATTATACGCTAAATCAATAGCAATTAGCAATCCTGTCGGTGATGGATAAATAGACATATTGTCTGTTGTATAATCTAAGAATTTCGCTCTAGCATATCTTTCAATATCGTGAGAATCGTAATCTCCCCATCTAAGTTGTACGTCGATCCAATACTTTTGCGTGGTAGTGTTATCCATAAGATCTCTGTTCGAAAAAGCGAGTCACCATTTGTAAAAAGGTAAACTACGAAATATAACAGAATCAATGATAGAGAAGAAAGTTATTCGTTACTTTGAATCCGCGAGTAGCGATGGTCTAGAAACGTTCCATTTATATGCAGAGAAAAGTAAAATATCAGCGCAAGAAGAGTTCATCTTGTACGATTTTCTCGGATGTATAGTCTCCTTTTGTACGGTCTCGATTTCTAACGCATCCAATTCTTGATCGAAAACTTGACACAGATCCATTACGATCGATTCGTGCACCTTTTGCCACAAGTGGGCACGGAATATTTGAATCAATGAAATCTTCAACGTAGGAATTTTACCGTGCATAAATATTCCTGTCAAGTCCAGTTGCACCTAATAACAAACAAGAGAATCCACTTACTTCGAAAATATGCTTCAAATTCAAAGTAAACGTAATTACGAGTAATCAGCAATGTACTTTACCTGAAAACCAACATATACGTTTGCCCTGTTAATAGTCGGTGACCACCATAAGGTGAATCGACGATTTGGAATTTGATTCAAACCCGACCTTTGAGCGTTAGTTAATTTCTTGTATTTCATCGATTCTTCAAAGCCGGATGCTTTCTCCCTAAATAACGGGAAGAACAACAGGGTAACACGTTGTTAGCATTTTAATTCTCAAAGTGTCGATTTTCAAACAGTTTCCCTGTGATTTCGAGAATTTGGAAAATCTTACCAGAAAAGACCTTCCCAAGTTGGAAAGTACGTTCCCTTGAAGAGCGTATGCTCTAAGATACCTTCTACACCGCCGAGAGCCTGTATCATATCTGTTCTGTAATTATTCAAGTTCCATAGTTTGCCGTCGTGACGTTGATGGGTCCACCAGAAAGGATTTTGTTTCAACACCTATAAAACGTATACATAGAATACAGAGTTTTTACGCACGTAAAGAGCACTGTGCATAAAACACGTTTTCTAAGAACGTAGGTAACAAGGTACCTGATACTGTTTAAATTCGGTACGTATTCTCCAACCCTTATCGTAGGCGAGAGTGTGCCTGTCTTTCTGGAACAATGTATTTATTCTAGGAATACCACGATCCCAACTATCTTCGAGATCTTCCAACGTGAGCCTACGATTTTGGGCATTGGCTTCTTGTCGCTTCAACGCATATTCCGCCCACACTCGCTGCGAGTCTATAAACTCAGATTCCCAAGGTTGAATGTATCGATATAAATTTGGAATTAACTGATCTTCATCGTGACTCATGCCCGAACGGAAATGTGTAATACCAACGTCGGTTTGTTTCGACCATCTTAAATCCGACTAAAAAAATAATTTTATATGTTTTTGGATCATACATTGAAAAGAATCGAGGCACCAACTATCGATACCAGTTGCTTCTGGAACGAGCAGCAACCTACCTGAGGTATGAGCACATGTCCCATCGAAAGCATACCCAGTCCACCGAGTTCTTTCGGCGTGTAAAACACTACCGGTGGAAATCGCGAGGGCATTTTTGAATTAAGACCAATCTTAATTCGCGTTTGAATTTTATTTTCACACTTAACCAATAAATCTAGAAGCTCCTGAGTGTTTACCACAGCTTCACGGAAATAAGTCATCAGTCCGATCAACGCGGTATTCCATTTGTTAACGATCTTCGTGAAAGTTGTGGATCCAGAAGCCATAAGAATTTGTCTAACTCTGTTGTGAAACCGTTGCAGACTTTCGTCATCGACCCTCAAGAAGCACTGAGCCGTTCTTTCTTTCGTTATTTCATTTTGCAAGTTCCACACGCCATCCCTGTGTGTAAACTCTTCGTGCGTAGTTCTACATTTTGGTAAAATCCTACATTCGAATCCACTCATGTTGAATAGTAGATTAGGATTATCTTTACTATATACGCTAACAAAACTGTTCTCCCATTGTATCGTAGTTGTGGACCGGGGTAAACGATTTTTAATGTCCCAAAATACAGCTCGACCTCTGTAAATTAAAAAGAGTTAATCTAATCGGATGACGATATTGTACAAGTTAGAAATATCTGCTTACAAATTCACATCGTGCTTCATAAGTCGCATTCGTGCATCTCGAGGCCAACATTTTTTATTATTATAACCAACGATATTTTCATTATTAGGGTCCGGATGTTCCGTCAAGTATCTCTGAATCAGATCTCTTGCCTCATCCGCGGAGAATCTCAAAAACAAATGTATCCTATCTACGTATCTGCAGTATAACCTAATGGGATGCGCCGTTTCCGAAGCTACGTCTTGGAAAGTTAAAAAGTCGTTTGGCATTTGAGGAGGACCAGCCATTTCGCTGGCTCTTTGCAATCCAAGAACCAACAAGTCCAACACCAAGCCATAATATTGCGCTATGAATGACGCAAACTGCAATCCTCTAATTATTCCGTAACTGTTCGTATGGTTCATATCCTAAACAACCATAATGTATATTTTTCTTTCTTATATTGCTAATCAGAAATAAATAATAGTGCATTTTAACGAAAGAAAATAAATACCTTATAATTTATGACAACGTTATTCTTTGCAGTCATATAATCGGCTATATTATGATCAACAATTAATCGAAGAAGTCTATTCAACAACGTCAGATCGATTTTTTCATACAATTTTTCAAACTTTGATTCTAATAACACATTACATTCTCCCTCGCTAACATCCCAAACATCTTGTAGATTATTAATACCCTGACACCATTTGTAGACCAAGAGAGGAGGTGGTTCTGTATCCGAAGGTTTAACCCACGGCGGAAACAACCTTCGTTTGTCCGCTTCGTACCATAAATATTGATCCAAGTAAGCATCTGTGATTTTCTCAAGAGGTTCAACATCGTAAACCGGAATTAAGTGACTGTAAAGATCCATAAATTCTATGCCCACCTGTAAAACAAAACAGATAAAGAGGTGAACTGAAGTGAACACAACAAAAAACCTGGACAAATTATAAAACGAAAGACAAGTGATTTTGTAAAATACTACCTCTTTGAATGCTCTTTGAGTTAAAAGATGACGTTTGATTCTAGAGAGTGCTTCGTGCGGATTATCATATGCCTGTTCGATCAAACCAAGTTCTTCACGTTGACTTTGATTTAACCTCGATTTCACGCTATATGCTTCTTTTAAACGTTCCAAAGCTAATATCAAAAGTTTGGTATCATGTTTGTAAGATAGTGGTGGGAAAGGTATAGGAGCGAATCTTCTGGATTCCAACCAATGTACAGTTGTGGTATATATAGCTACTGCTTCTTCCGGTGAAATGTACGGACCATCCTGCGTGCGTAATAAATATTAAAACTGAGACGCTATACGATAGCATGGGATCAACGTTGATCGTATCGCGGTAGTTTAGTAACAGATTTGATTAATATCGCAAACTTCGTTATTTATCCTTCAAAACTGTTCGTGTATATGTATACCTTCAAATAATTGTGTTGCCGTTCTTGTTCGGCTTTAAGATAGAGACGTGTGAGACGTCCAAGATTCTTTTTACAAACAGTTTTATCCACAGTCGCTCCACGTCTAATACGTTCTCGATTATAATGCGCGGTATTCGTCCACCAATCTGCTTTCATTTTAACATAACGAAGGATCATATTCTCAATCGGTATTGGTAATCCAGGAACCTGTGGTAGGAAATGGTAGTTAAGAAATCATCATCGAAACACAGTGATGTCCGTAATCAATTATCGAAGACGAACCTTCCAAGGAATGTTAGCCTTCCAACATCTCCATGCCTCGCTGAGGTGTTGAAGTATCGTACGAGCTTTATTTTGTTTAATTCCCTCTGGCATCATGTCAACGATATCGTGCATTACGGATGCTCTTAGTTCAAGATCGAAATGCGATTCCACCCGTTGTTTCGTCACAGTTTTCGCAACCCCCTTCGAATGACGACCTTCGAATTGTCTAGACAACAAATTGCCCAACCATCTTTCCAGTAACGGAGTGATTCCCCTCATGAAGAAGAGCCATACTCTCCGTTAAAGCGGTAATAAATTAAATGTTTCAAGTCTTTGCACATTCTGATTTGTCTCATCAACTTATATTTGTATCGATACATTCCAGTCAATTGTCCAACGTGCGCGAAAATATATTGTAATCCGTCCGCGAGTTGGAACGCGTCAACATTATTCAAACGATACTGTACGTGAGAATCGATGATCAATTTTGTCAAACGCAAAATCTCGCGACACAAATGGAAAGCTGAAAACATCAAATTGATCTCTAAGAATCTTGAAGCAACAAAATGCAATTGCGAAATATACATACGTGTCGGTAACAGACAAAAATATTTACCATTTCCGAATCTAGATTTTTTTCTTTCTTTCGTTGTTAGTGTTTTAACCGGTTTCAGATTGAAATTATAATCCAAATGTAAATAGTTCAAGTTTTTTCTATGAATGAGTAAATTCAACATGTTATATCCCTGTCTGCATACTTGTAGACCAGCTTCGACCCAATCGATCGTAGTAGTTTGGAAAAATTTCGTTGATTTGAATGAACGGAATAGATAACGTTTCTTCTGCGGTTTAGGATGCCTATGTTTCAACGCGTTCAACACAAAGTATTTCAACAGCTTTTGATAGCTGACCCGAACTTTAACAGGTTGTCCCGGTGGACAGTGCTCCCTGTACCAAGATTTCACTAAAGGAATGTCGATGGCTCTTCTCGTTCTACCAGAACGGGTATTAAATGGCCTGGGTGCCCATAGCAAAGCTATTCCGTTTGCCGTATTATCGGTGTATAACGGCGTCTCTTGAAGGAAGGGTTGCACTTCTTCAGGAAGCACGAAGTCTTCATCATCTTCAATTTGTGGTTCCACGGTCTAAAACATATGTGTAATCATTTTAATAAAGTTTATTCAAATTAATACATTAAATAATATTATCCTTACCTTCAGCGAATTTCTGTGAGAGATAGGATTGATCAAAGGATCGAAATAAAATGCGGGTAAATCGGGATCTTCAGTTTTTATATAAACGACATTTGGAGCGTGATACCTGGAAATGCAATATAAAACTGAACTAGAGGCCAATAGTGGTGACAGTGTCATAGAATTATATACAGTATCAATTGAAATTATACATTTACACAAATTTTATGAAGGCTGTAGGTGACTTCAGCAGTTGCCTTTTACACTTTACAAAAGATACGAATAACAATCACCGCTTCTTTTCTCTACCACACTGCTAGTAAGACTTTAATATACTAAATACAGACGAGTCTCAAAACTTGTGTGGAAAATGTCAAGTATAACAACAAAGGAATGATTTTATTACTTACCATGATAAATGTACAAAATGTGGCATATTATTGTACAAATATGGGAACGCGATACGATACTCTGTTCTTATAGGCTGTCTAATGATAATTTTATTGATATCGTTAAACTCGTTCCAATCTTCATCGGCTGCATTTGAATCTTTCACCAGTGGCTCAAATTTTGGACCACCTGGTATAGCCATATTTAACGCCTTTGCGGTGAAAAATGATTTTGGGTCAAATAGATAAAAAAAGTTTTGATCCACCAAATCCGTTAATAACTGATTAGCCAAACGATATAAAGTTGCCATCTGTGGTAAAGTCAAGTTCCACCTTCGATAAGTGGACCCATTTACGTGCCTGCAATATTACTAACGGTTAAACACAACTTTGATAAACAATGATTACATTTTAATATGAGAACGGTCAATTCAGTATAGCGTTTCGTCCAGCTAATAGTAACTCGTAGTACTCATCTCGGATAAGACTATCGAATTATTACAGCCATCAACTCACATGTTAGTTGATTTCAGGACCCCTACGCGGTTCATCACAAAGTATCAATACACTACGCGTTACCGCATGAATAAAAAATTATTAACGTTTATCAAATGTAATAAAACGATTCTAATTTAATTTACAAAATTTATCACCTACTTAGTGCCAACAAGTGGTTTATGCTCATAAAACCATGAAGCCACAGATTCATCTTCTTCCGAGTCAAGTTCAATCTGAATGGCTTCCAAAGGTTCTACATCTAAAACATTATCCGCGTAATCTAACGGTGGTTCTTCGTCATCAAAAGGTGGAAATCTCATTCTCTTGAAATGCCTACGGTCTCGTTTCTCTCTTCGCATCATAATCCACATTGTACTGTACAACACAACCGCAAAAGCACAACGAAATTAAATTATGTAAATTAATATGCTATAATTAAAAATTAATGTCCCAGAAGTGGGCAAACAAACGAAATGTTCTTGGCTTACCCCCATTGAGCAATATACACAGGTTCTATAACCCAAGGAATTTCATTTACAAATGTAATTGCACCTGTGATATGATAGAGAACCTTTACATCTCTAATTTGTTCCCAGGGCATAGGCATATTTTCCAAAAGTTTCATAACTGCATGAGGCATATATTTTAATGCACTAAAATAAAATTAACAGTATTTTTAATAATCGTTAATCTTTTTTCCTCATTATTACCTATCAATATATAGGCAAAAATATCCATTACTAAACAATCACTGATACTTACCCTAAGTAAACACGTTTGTCATGTCTATATTTACGACTGCTCATGTCTCCATGATCTCTAATGATTTTTCTTATATGCTCTGGAGGCATATCTTCCTTCTGAGCATCCACAAAACCAAATTTTCTTTTCTCAGCGAATCTTTTTGATTGAAGTTGTTGCCATTTTTGTGCTAAAATTACACAAATATTCAGATAATATACATAAGCATATAAAAATGTCCTTTACTTGAACTATGCCTAAGCATTATATTTTTAATCTTTATACTACTGGGCAAACCACTATAATTATACATCTTATTATACAGTTATTATTTCTTTTCCAATTGTGAATTATCATCTTTACTTTAAAAGCTGTATAGACACTAATCCTTAGATACCTTTTTCTTGAAGCTTATCTTCTGACAAAACTTCAGGTTGTTTAGGCATTTGTGGTAACGGCGGTCCTGCTATTGCTTGCATATGAGCATGATGCGCAGCTTGTGCATGTGCAGCTGCTTGAGCATGAGCCTGGGCTGCAGCTAATTGTGCATGAGCCTGTTGTTGAGCCATCATAGTGGCCCATGGATTTGGACCCAATAAATATGGTGGAATAGACATATTTGTGCTGAAAATCTATAATACAAAGGAACATGATTGATAAATCTGGTATTGAACTTAACCAAAGTATTACCTCGAGTATATGTAGTAAATTTAAACAATAAAAATATTTTAATCAATAAGTAGTGCTAGTATAGTTCGGATTTTCTCAAAATGCTTAATCTAGAATTATTCTGAAATAATAAAAATAACGGAGGCAAATACATGAAAATTAAGCACATTAAGAGTCGTATAACGTAAATAAATAATAAACAGTAACTACTGAGTCGATTGGCTATTTAAAAATTAAAAAGGTTAAAATAACGTAAATATATCGTGTTCGGATATCGTGTTGTGTAAAACGTTAGACGAGAAGCGTATATAATTACAATATTATAAGAATTTTTAACACATTTTTGTAGTAAATATTGATTATTATTATTACAGGATGTTGGAATATTTTAAAAGAAACGTCGATGAATTGTTAACTTACATCGATTTTATATAGAAGCAAACATAACCATTACGTTAGCGCATCAACACACTGTAGTTCAACGCCATTGTAGATATGTGAAACTAAGCCTCGTTACCGTTACTCTAAATTGTACCATATGACATTAAACTTAAAACAAATTGAAATCGTTCCAAACTACAACTTACTAATTATAATTCTCAGAATATATAACTCGATATTTTTACACTTCCTGTAATTTTGAGAAAATTACAGATGGCGTATTAATAATATTTTTCATTATTTACGTATTTAAGAATACATCAGTGGCATACGAAATATGAAACAATTAAAGCAAAGTGAGGGAACTTTGTCTAATATAAAATCATGTTAAATCCAATTTAGTGTTTTAAATTTAAATATTGAGAATATATTTATCATTAAACAAATAAATTTTATCGCGTGCAAAGGATATACCAAAATTTTGAAACTGAATAGGATATTAATTCATCATAGGGATTATATTTCTATTCAATCGATCATTAAAATCATAAAACTACATATAACTGTGTAGAAAGGAAACAAAGCCAACTTATAATATTTTGAATTTCACAAATTGACGCAAAACGTATAATTTTCTCTTTCAACTTTAGATTACAAACGAAACCTTTTAAAAATTTCCATGCACCTATCATATATTTTATGCTAGATTAGAATTAGCATTCCCGTTGAGTTATAGTTTGTGTCTGAAATACTCGAATCGTTTCGTTTCGTTTCTTTTTCAAAATTTCCCACATTTCTTTCTGATTATTTTGTCGTGAAAAAGAAGAAAAGAACGAAAAGGAAAAGAAAGATGTAAGTAAACCTCATAATATCACATACAATTTCATACGTAATTTATAATTCGCATTTGTAGATAGTTTAATGTATCCGCCACAAAATCAGTGTGGAACACGCAAATAAAGGGGAGTATAACATATCGTCGTATTTACGCATATACGTACTTATATACTTAGATATCTACGTTTTTCGAACGCATTACGATCAATTAAAGTTATCGACGAGAAAATTGTTTAAATGTGATTACGCCGTGAAAATAATGGCCGGAGTATTTGATATAGAATTGCACGAAGGAGATTCTATAAATCAGGACGACTCAGATGATGATATCGTCGAAAACAGAGAAGTTCGTTTCTTGTCAAACTTTTGATGAATTTTCAGTAATTGCTATCAAATCATTCATTTGTTTCGTTTCTTTTTTAGGATGAATATAATTATGCCACAAATGTAAATACCATATTAGAGTAAGTGTTTAAAATGTTAAAAGTATGTGACATTGACTTCCTTAGTTGGATCATATTTACCAAATAATAATAATGTTAAAATAAAAACAAAAACGTTCATTTTTCTTTTATAGATCTGATAATTTGGAAAGAGTTCAGTTATCAGAACAAAATCTGAATGCAGGTCAGGAGAAAACTGGTCCTCAAGACTTTGAACTATGCAAAATTCTTGGGAAAGGTGGATATGGAAAAGTTTTTCAAGTGAAAAAAGTTACTGGGAAGGACAAAGGCAGTATCTTTGCTATGAAGGTAAATATTTTTATACATACACATGCATATAAAAAGCTTTATAGTTCTTTCTTTTCATAGGTGTTACGAAAAGCATCCATCATAAGAAATCAAAAGGACACAGCTCATACAAAAGCAGAAAGGAATATTTTAGAAGCAGTAAAAGTATGTAAATTCTATTGGGGTTTAATACCGAGGAAGAAAATATTCACTTGCTGTAACATTATTTCAGCATCCCTTCATCGTAAACCTAATGTACGCATTCCAAACTGGTGGTAAATTATATTTAATTTTGGAATATCTATGTGGAGGAGAACTTTTCACATACTTAGATAGAGAAGGCATTTTTCTAGAAGACACAGCTTGGTAAATTAACTAATTCTGGAATAATTCTTTAATAATCTATTATACATGCAGATAAGTTTCCTATATGTACAAAAATTTTAAGATCATTCAAACTAACGCATACTTCTTCTATTATCTATTTTCGTATTTTGTATTTGTAGCTTTTACCTGTCTGAAATTATACTCGCGTTGCAACATCTCCATAATCAGGGCATCATATACAGGTATATAATATTCTTTAGTCGTTATTCCTATTTAAAAGGTATAATTACAGGTTATAATTACAATTATTACAATATTATTTCTACAGAGATTTGAAACCAGAAAATATTTTATTGGATGGTGAAGGTCATGTTAAATTAACAGATTTTGGTCTGTGCAAGGAACATATAGAAGAAGGTACAGTAACGCATACATTTTGTGGAACCATAGAATACATGTAAGTAAAAATTTTCCTTTACATTAATTCAAAGTCTCATTAGTGAATGATTGTTAATTGAAAATGGAATATAATTTTACTCAATATATCTGTATCATAATTGTTATCATTAATGCTTTCAGGGCACCAGAAATTCTAACAAGGAGTGGACATGGAAAAGCAGTTGATTGGTGGAGTTTAGGTGCCCTGATGTTTGATATGCTTACTGGAATGGTATACAAATTAAATAAATAACGAAGTATATGCTTTTTAAAATATGAGGATTGGATCCAACGGCGTACTTATATACATTCTTGCTTGCAGCCACCGTTTACAGGAGATGACAGACGAAAAACGATCGAGAAGATTTTACGTGGAAAATTAAGTCTTCCGCTTTACTTAACACCAGATGCAAAAGATTTAATACGAAAATTATTAAAGGTATCCACCAGATTCTCTTTACCCTAACATAACGTTTCCATTTATTTAATTATTCATATTATGTATACGTGTTACGTATCAATTACAGAGACAAGTATCGCATAGACTTGGATCCGGACCCGAAGATGCTGAACAAATTATGAACCATAATTTTTTTAAACATATTAATTGGCAAGATGTAATTTCACGAAAATTAGAACCTCCTTTTAAACCATCATTAGTATGTATCATTAATTCGAATAAAACACGTTACAACAGTGAATAAAATTTTTGAATGTTCGTAGAAAAGCGCCGATGATACATCGCAGTTCGATGAGCAATTTACGGCAACTGTACCAGTTGACTCTCCAGTTGAAAGTACCTTAAGTGAATCCGCTAATATGATCTTTCAAGTAGGTATAAGATATGCTGAAAATTTATCACTGGAACAATAAAATGACATTGAACGAAATGCTTATAGGGTTTTACATATGTAGCACCCAGTGTCTTGGAAGAAATGTGTGCCCAACCAAGAGTCGTAAATGCTAGGAGTCCCCGCAAAGGTCTTTTATGTACAGGATTTAGTGGAAGTCTTCACAGTTTGTCATCAAGGTCGCCTGATGGACACCTTCGCGCAGCATCCCATTTTCACCAACACAGGTACTTTCAAATTTGTCATTCTATTCACCACGATAAAAAGTATACGTGCTTTATATGTAAATTCAATAATAATGATTCATCATCTTCCAAAATATTTACTTGAAACGTTATTTCTTTTATTTCTAGGCATCACGTGGTAGGTTCAAATAATATGGAAGATACCGAAATGACGGATATAGGTCCGCTTCTTAATTTTTAAGCATTATGTAGTAAATTTAAATGATATGGAAAATATCGAAATGACAAACATAGGTCAACTATGGCATCATTTATAGCGGTACATAAATGCATAAACATATGCAGGAGGAAAGGTTGGACTTTTACCTTAGGCTGAGTAGAATGTTCGTAAAATCAGTTTCTAGCTTATTCGTTCTTCATTTTCACAGTCCAACAATTAAATTTTATTGACAAATTTCATACATTTTGTTTACGTATATATTTACAAAACAAACGATTCTAAACGTTATAAAAAGTTACGCTTCTAGAGCAGCGATGCTACGCGCATACAAATCATACGTAGGCCTGTACCTGCTCTCATGTGATTGATGATTATTTGCAGTTGTAAAGAAGTAAAAATTCGTGCGTTTTCCTTATGTAAATATGTGTAGGTTTCTGGTAATAAGTACATTTTGTTTACACAAGGCACTGTATCGTGAAACTATTTAAGAGATATTTTTGATGACATACTAGCTTATGATTATCAAATGAATATACATCCTTTAAAAAATTCCGATTCACCAACTAATACGAGTTTATCGTTAGTATATGAAATAAAAGGAGCGAACGTTCAATGTGAATACACTTCGAAATCTATTTGAAAGTTCGAAAAATATACGGTTTCTTCGAGACGCGTTACTTATGAAAACGCATAGATTGTGCAAGATTTTAAATATTTTATTCGGTTAATTGTGTAATTTGAAAACAAAGGAAAAAGAAACAAATATGCAAATGTACATTCCAAAATAATTTAAATTTCTTAGACACGATAAACGTCGTATCGAGTTCATTATAGATCATGCTGATTAAAACTAGATTATTGAATACCGCTAACTTTGAAAGTCACGTTCTGCCATTAGGATAAAGTTGATTCCTTTAAAGTACCATGTTACATTAAACGAAAAGAGAGTAAGAGTAAGAGAGAATGAGGGAGTGAGAAGAACGAAATAACAGTGTACAAGTAAAAATTGTATCGATCTTTGTTATAGTAGAATCGGAGGAGAATTACAAACGGATATATTTTTCGTTACCAAACATCGTCGGTGAAAACGGTGAGTCGTAAATATCGGCAAGTTTTGAATGAGAAAGGGAAGGCAAACGAAGTGGGGGGTGGTCAGGATTGTACACAATATCCCATTTTAGGATTAAAGCTTTAAAAATATATTTTGCAATGGGAATAATGCGAATGAATGCGGTCCTGACTGAGATTCGAATATTTTTCCCAAAATATTTCTTTCAACTTCTTATTTGTTCCGTTTTTCAAAATATACGTATATTTGATACTTGGCCAAATTTATGACTCGTTTTTATACGTTTTCCATTGACCATGTATAACTTATGCATGTGTTGTATCTATAATGCCTCGATAGACTACGATAGACTGCGATAGACTACGATAGATTACCATTTCCATTCACTAAACCAACCCGATTCTACTTTCTGCAGGTAATCATTGTGAAAGTGACAATTACGAAAAAAATTCAAACTGCCCAAGTGTTCACAGCTACCAGCTGGATAGTATTAAATTTCACATAGAAAAACTTATGCACGCTCACCCACGCGCGCGTGTGTAGTAAATAAGTATGTAAAATTCTTGTTAATAGCTAATTATGTTATAAAAGTAAAATGTTGAGAGTGAGAAATTGATATCTTGTATGATAGGTATACAAAGGTTACGAAAAGGCTCTGTTGCTTTTTTAAAGACAAAATACAGTAATGATTTCACTTCTATATATACATATATATATAGAAGTGAACATTGCATTTTCAAATATACATATATATATAGGTGTCTTATAGTATTATTGTTTGAATTGAATTTAGTAAGAAGTAGAATATTTCACTGTTTTGGTATCTACAATTGGAAGGAAATACATATTGAGATGCTTTAGGGCTTAGTTAGAATTTCACACTGAAATTTGTTCTTTCAAATTTACGTAGGTAATGTTCTAAAATGAAATCATTCTCATGTATATAATGTTATAATAGAAGACCCGTTTATGTATTTATTAAGCAGTTACTGTTTCTTGAAAAAATTTTTCAAAACGAAAATTCTACTAATACTTAACGATATTAATGTTAAATATCCATAACAAAGTATCAATCATAGCCATTTACAGATGAATTAATATAAGTTTAAAATAATATTTGTTTGAAACATTTCTTTAAACAAATCTCTTTCCATATAAAATATTTATGAAGATTCATATTCATTCTAAGAAATAGAAACTTTTTCAACTGTAATTTCTGTTATGCACATGATGCTTATTAAAATAGTTTAGTAAGTATAAGAATTCTATACTATATTACGCTTTCTACTGCACGTGTGTGAGAAGTACATAACATACATGCATCTTAATTCATTTATCGTGTTCTGTGATTTATATGAGTAGGAAATACAACTGGCGCGTATATAAACTTTCATTACGTTGAATTACAATTTATTGTATACCTTTAATATGTAAAAACATAATTAATCTCAACATCGTCTTGTTCTTTTCCTATTTCGATTTTCACCATTTTTATCCTCCTTAAATTCGGTGACTTTTCTTTTTTTACGACTATCAGATTCTTTATCTTTACTTTCTTTCGTATCTTTTTGATGTGATTTCTTGTGTTTATACTTCTTTTTATGTTTCAATCCATTTCCGCCCTTTTGATTGTTTGTTTTACTTTTCTCTTTCTTTCGACGATGATTCGTAGAATTACCATTTGAAATGGAATTCGCTCGATTTTTCTTTCGTCTCTTTCTAATCTTTTTTGATGTACAATCATTAATATTTCTGATATCTGCACTACTTACACTAGTGCTACTGCTAGCAGTGGTGTTAGAACTGGTACTACTATTTGTATTCAAGGTACTACTACTTCTACTACTACTGCTGTTGTTGCTAGAACTGTTATCACTATCTGTATCACTGTTACTTTTTCTATGTTTAATTTGTTTCTTTTTCAATCTTCTCTTTTCTGCTTTCTTCGTCTTTCTTTCAAGTTGCTTTAGTTTTCTGCAATTATTATTATCTGAATTAGCTTCATCTTAAAATAAGTGTAATTGTTAACATATACCAATACTACATGCTTACTTTAATAACTTCTTTTTTTCCTTTTTGGAAAGAGTTTTCAATAATGTAATTTCCGATTGTTCTTCATCATCTGACACCATAAGATGTTCATGCTCAGGAACTCGTAAATGTTGTTGAGCACTAAGGGCAGACCTATTGGTAAAATGAAACGTGTTAAAAAAGAAATAGGACTGCTTATAAAGGAAAAAAGAATGGAAAGAAAAATAAATTTTTCTGACATGTAAAATTGTAATATAAACTGACTTTTTAAGTGCCAATCCATCCTCTCTCATTTGTTGAACTAGAGTTAAAGCATCTGGAGCTGATGGAGTTTGTGAATTATTTGCCATTACTACACTCATTGCTTGGCTATACAAGGGGCACTCTTTGTCTGTAATTAATATATTGTATTAAGCAGCTTGAATCTTTTGCATTAAATTTAATTCTATTTTTTCATTAGTTATTATGTTATAATACAAACCTGTATTTATATGTCCCCACTTGTGACATTTGATGCAACGGACATTGCGTACTTGTATACCAAATGGTTGATCTCGTATTTCACTATCCCCTTTACAATAACTTTCTCTTGGTGCATTGTACTTGCGTTGCCATTCAAATTTATATTCTGGCTCGTTATCTTCTTTTTCTCTCTCTTTTTTTGCTCCAGGTGGTGGTTCATACATAAAATTTACACTTAGCTTGTCCTTGCTTTCTTTACTCAACAAAGCTCTATAGTTAACAAAGTAAAACATTAGAAAAATACATTTCCGAATTTTACCAAAGAAATATCATTTGACTTACTTGTTATTGTGAAGGTCCTGTTCTTTTTCATATTGAACACGCAATTCCTCTTGCTTTTTTTTATAAGCTTCGGCTTGTTGTTCAGCCATCCATACCTTAGGGAAAAATAGAAGAAGAAAAAGTTATAATTTTAATTATTGTACGAACTATGAATAACCTAAGAAAAACGTATAACGTAGAAAACATACTCGTTTCAAGTTGTCTCGAGATGCTGGATGAAAAAACTTTTTACACATGTAATTATTGAATCCCTTTCCCATTTTGTGTTATTAAAGAAATACTTGTTAATATCCAATTGAATATAATCATCGAAGTCAACATCTACGATACGTGTCGAAGCACACGTATCTCATCCTCGTATCTTTTATTTCTAGTGTCAAGAAAGGTTAGTATGATTGTGAATATTGCAGTTTTCTGCGAAATTTTTCTAAACGTTTTAAGTATATCGTCATATAGCCTAGAATATATTTTAAAAATTGAAAAAAAGAAGAAAAAGTTATGTTGAATAGGAAAAAATATTGTTGCAACGCAGTGCACGACGGTATTGTAAATATTACGAAATTTTCTTGTATGCAATTGTATGTATATCAATCAGAATCATCTAGTTGTTTTGACGTACGTGGAAGGTTAACTTCGTCCAGCGTAAAGATTTAGTAAGGAAAAACAATTGTTTGTTATTAACAAGTATTTAGATAGATTGAAGAAAAAGAAGAGAGAGAGAGGGACGAGGAATTACGGAATATTAATAAAATTTGATTTAATCAGTGTTGAATAGTTTCGAAGTTATTTTATAATCGTCCGTTTAAAAACAGAATTTCAAATGCAATGAAAATAAACGAGAAAAACATGGTAGCTTTTGCAACTTCGGCAACACCAGTAGACCGTGAAGGTTGGTTAAATAAACGCGGTGAATTAAATCGTGGGTACCAAAGAAGATGGTTCGTTCTCAAGGGAAATATGTTGTTTTATTTCGATCGTCGCGGTGATAAAGAACCAGTAGGTATGATAGTTCTTGAAGGTTGTACCATCGAATTGGCGGAGGACGAGGAACAATTTGGTTTTCAAATTGTGTTTCACGGACCAAATAATAGAAATTATGCCCTCGCAGCAGAATCTCAGGTAAAAACCTTAGTTGTTTCTTAATTACATAGCATATCCTTCGTTAACATACAATAGATACATAGTTGTTAATTTTCAGGAATCCATGGAACAATGGATGAAAGCTTTGGCATGTGCAAGCTACGATTACATGAAGTTAATGGTAGCAGAATTACAAAGACAGTTGGACGCAGAAGAAGAAGAAGAGGAAGAAGACGAAACAACAATGGTGATGGCTCCCTCCCAATCTCCAAAAGCTCCTCCAAGGCAACGACATAATCCTTTTAATAGATCAGAGTTACATCATCGTTCGCAGAGTGTCAGATCTGCTCCTGGAAGGACGGAAAATGTGCCAAGAACAAGAATAACATTCCGTGAAATGCATAATATGTTCGGCAGGAGAATTTTGGCGGATTTAAACGAATGGAGGCATACAAGGAAAACTGCAGATACTCCCTTAATTAGTTTTTAATCGTGCTAATGATACGTGTGAATTGTAAATATTTAATTGGAAGTACAGTTTAGTACTTATTAAACGTTATTGGAATGTATCGTTTATTTTTGTAACAGTGAAATACTTACAATCAAAAATGTAACAAAATACCTTTGATCGTTATTAGAAGGTTAAAAATGACAACAATCTTACATAATGAAAAATGTATTCGCTTGTAAAATACGGTCACGCGTTATTCATAAGTTACATTCAAAACTGACTTGCACACTTGCAGTTAACTGCAGACTGTAAAATGAATGAAAATAATCGTACACAAATATGTCGCGAAAGATTAGAAAGAAAATCAGTTTGATAAGGGCACTAGTTACGAAATAAAAAGCACTTTGTAGTTATCATTACTCGAATTTGACTTGGAGATATTCTACAGCGAACGTGTGTACGAGAGAACATGTTCAGTATTGGTTATATATATAACTAAGCAGATAATACGAACCGTACAGAATTATAAGTGGCTAAAAAATCGTACAAACGTTGCTGGTCTTTAATAAAGATAATTCGCAATGCACCAACAATTCTCTTATTAAATATTCGATTAGAATAAATAGTGATATTCCGTGTGTTGTAATAATGAAATAGGTGGTAAAAATTCTTCAAGGTAAAGATATAATAGTCTACTTAAACTTAAAGACACCTTTCTTTCTGGCGTCACCCGGTAGATGTCTAGCACCCAGTAGAAGCCGAGCTTTATCTTCCTCTTGTGGAGCGGATTCTTCTTGCGGACCTCTTGGTTTAATTTGTAATTTCTGTTTAATAGCTTGGCTCAATATTACATGTCTGGTATCGCTTTTCATAGCCAAAAGAAGATCGAGCCATGTCCAAGTAACATTATGGTATTCCAAGGTAGGTATTACCAATGCAAAATCACGAACGTCTTCCAAATTTTTCTCTTTATTTCCCTATATGTGTGTATATGCGCGTACGTACGCGTGAGTAAAATAAATGGTTTTGGTAAATAGTAATTTGTAATTTGTTTGAAGAAATAAAAAGATGACAATAGGCTTGTAAGAAATATACCTTGTAAGAAACACGAACGGGTACTTCTGGTATTTTAATATATATAAATAATTTATTTTTATCCGCTCGCTCTTTCATCTTTTCAACATCGTCTCTTCTTTCGATCGGTACATAGAACGAGGAATCTCGCTGTGGTGCGGGTGGCTCCTCTATACCTTCCGGATCTCTCTCCGGAAAGCAGAATTTTAGCATTGTATTGAAGAATTTTTTCGTTAATCCTAGAAGAAAAAACGGAAATGTTTGTAAGGGGAAAGAGAAAGAGATTATGGGATAGAGAAAATGTTCAGGTGCTTACCTATCGTTAAGGGAACAACATTGATTTCGAAATGTTCTTTGACAGATATTCCAGCAACCGGTGCTTTCTCCCTACAAAAAACACGAAGAGCTCTCTGTCTATCAACAGGCATGTTACTTTGCAATTCCGTGGGAGTCAAGACTTCCGTGTAGACTTGATTCGGCAGTAAATTAGTCATTCTGACGTATCCTAATTCGAGAAGATGTTCAACCGAATCGTCCGTTTTGCTGGTTTTCGTGTACAAAAAGTTCGTTAAAATAAGATCGGCGATACCCAATTGACCATCCGCGTCGGTCAATCTCCATTGAGCGTGTTTGAAACAAATTTCAGCGACTCTCGCAACCGCTGCCGGCTTATCCTTTAAGGTGGTGGAGGCTGTAGTCGGGGCGGTTGTTTCTTTGTAACAACTCAACATCACGTCAAGCTCTTCCGCTTTCGCGGAGAGTTGCTCTTTACATTCGAAAACTCGAGCTTCTAGCCGCTCCATTTCCGCCAACAATTCAGGACTGGACTCCTCCGCGAGAGCTTTTTGCACGAGGTACGTCTCACGTTCCAACCTTCGTAATTTCGCCACTAAGCCACGCACAGTGTTTTGCAATTGTTGAATCGGTCGTTTTTGATCTTCGACCGAATGTAATTGCAATTGAAATCTCATTCTTTGCAAACGTTCCGACGCCTCCTTTCTCCTCGGCTCTACGTAAAGCAGCAAATTATTAACGATATCTAAGATCATAGCGTACTGCAAGGAATTGGTGCAAACATCCAGATCGTGATGCATCAGCGTAAACGCGTCCGCAGCCGAAAGCTCTTTTCTTTCCCACGGACTGACTTCTTCCCTCGGCGGTGGAGGAACCTGATCGACGAAACCGACGTCCAAAGCCTGTCCGTAACCAACGTAGAAGAACTCACATTTGCATCTCGATACGATGCGCTGTAGCTGGTGTTGAGGGCCACCACCACCGCCAACCGTCTGACTCACTACACCGCCGACACTCTGTCCTGAACCAACCAGTGCCGGCACATCCGGCAATCCAGCTATCACCGTCGAATCTTTCTCCTTGTTCAACGTACAAACATCCCTTTTATAGCACACCACACCATACTCTGCTCATTACTATATCCTATCGACTTACTTGTATATTGTCTAACGTCAACCACATTATGTTATCATCAATATTCTCGTCTATGTTGGCACTGACAGTCGCGTAGTACTGCATACACTCCAACGATCCAACCCAGGTTGTCTTTGACGCCAAAGTTCTTTCCTTCCATACGGGTTGATGAACTCTTTGTAATATCTCAGCTTTCGCTGCGGATAAAATCACGTAACCTCGCGTCTCGATACCCTTCAATAATACTTGACTGTTCACCAGAGCAACTGAAATGCAAAAGTTTTACTTTTACAGGTATCGAATCGGGGGTAAAAATTTTCTTGGGTAAAAATATCATAGCTTAGTGGTAGCATACTTAGCCAATTTTTGTGAAGAACGTCGTCTTGGTGACAAGCCGCGAGTCCACGCAATTGCTGGCCCCTCGTCTGTACGGAGAGATCGTCGCTAAACGCGACTGGTTTATTCGTAGCCTCGGCTATTAATCTCTGCAACATCCCAACAGCTTCTCCCTGTTGCGGTTTCGTTGATGCGGACGAAGCGTTTATTTGAGCGGACGAAGCGCTCTGTACCACCTCGACCAACCTCGTCCTATTCTTGTGCGGGGTCGACGACGAGCTAGAACTTTCTCTGTGGAAGCCCTTCAGAGCCGCGGTAGAAAGATTCTTCTTAAGCTGCTGCGTCTTTATGAACGAATCGAAAAGCGCGAACGCCACGTCTCTGTTCGTCTTCGTCCAGGCTCCCTTCAAATCGTGCACGACCAGTCTATGGGTGGGTGTATTTCCGCCGGTAACTCCCGTTACCATTGCCTCCCTGCCGTAACTGACACGGGCCACGCTCAAGCAGTAGCACTTCTCCACCGGCTGCCGCAGCGAAGCGCTCTCCTTGTCCTCGTGAAGGGCGCTCTTCAGCCAGATCTCCGCGTCGCTTAACTCGCAATTCATGTAGACTACCGACCATTCCGCTCTCGGACGATGTATCAATCCGTCGTCGATCGGATGCAAGGATAAGTTGTGTTCGCAGCTACACGCGACTCTACCGCCGGTCACCTCGAATCCCCGTTGCATCGCGAAAGACATCCAGTAGTTAACGTGAAATTGATGGAAAGCCAATGTCAACCGGACTTTTCTGTAATGTCGGCTCAACTGTTTCTTCCGTGGTCTGATGTTCTTAAATAACGGCCCCTTCCTCGTCGGTCTGGTCGCTCCGGACAAAATGAACTTTAGATTCTCGAACCATCTAAGCGTGCTGCCGTAAAGCAAGGCGGTCGGTGCGTTCGCCACCGCCGGTGATCCGGTTGGTGGTTTCGTCTCTAGCGACAAGCTCACGTTCAAATTCTGCGAACGGAACGCTCTGAACGAATCGTGCTCCTGATTGCTCGAATATTCCGGTAATCTGTCCGGAGCGCAGGGTATCGCGGCATGATGATCCCTAGGATCACCCAGGCAAACCCACGTCAACTTTATCCCTAAACGTACGTTTGGTAAATGCAGTAATCTGCAATCGTCGTATTTGCTCGCCGTACGAACGTAAACGTCCAAATCTCCTTTCACGATGATCCTCCCTTGTGTCCAATCGAGTTCCAGGCCTGACCACGTCAGTTCCATCTCTTCAGTGGTGTTGTACGGATCCAACGAGCCGTGCAACAACACCGTCAATTGTTTCACGCAAAGTGTCAACCTTCCATGTACCGCCAAACGCATTTTATCCCAGAATGGCAACGGTGGGCTTGGATCTCTCGACGGATGTATGATCTTCTCGAAACTGAGATTGCATTGCGCTATCACCGGCTCCCAACAGGGGCCGAACGCATACCTGAATTTGTCGATATCCCAATTCAGATCGTGATAATACTTGAGAGACGTCATTCCTCTCTCGACCACTATATCCTCCCATGGTGCGCCGATTTCGATTCTGACGGTTCGTCTGGCTCGCACCGGTGCCAAAGCTTCCGCACCAGCCAATCTGCCCCATACGCTTAAATTCTCTACGAGAAGTAATGGTTGCGGGAAATCTCGTAATTGTAACTTCCATTCGGCGCACTTTAAGCTGATTCCCCTCACCCATAGCGTACTAAATTCAAGACCATCTTCCGGCCAAGGAGTTTCCGCGTCCATTTCACGTACGGCTTTCGTCGCGTTTTCCGTACCGTCGATCGACGGATCGGCTAAAGCCAATATTTCGATGTCCAACATAGACCAGGCGAACAATCGTGTTCTAGCTGGACCAGCGCGTTGCATTTGTTTCCATCGCTGTACGTATATCTCGGAATTCTTTTTATTCAAACTAGCATACAATTCTTCGACTTTACCTTGCGGAAGTAACAAATGAGCTCGAAGCAGTTCTTGCACTTTAGCGTCGAGCATAGCTTGTCGTTTCAAACTCTCCTTATACTCGTCTTCCAACAATTCGTAATTATCCCGCAAACGTACTTCGAATGGATCGTCGCTCACCTCAAATATCCACTCTTTGATCTGTAACGTGTGTTAATAACGTGTGTTGTTAAACAATTTTCTATATTCTCTGCCACCGCCGCCGCCGCCGACGACGACGACGACGACGACGACGACGACGACGACGACGACGACGACGACGACGACGACGACGACGACGACGACGACGACGACGACGACGACGACGACGACGACGACGACGACGACGACGACGACGACGACGACGACGACGACGACGACGACGACGACGACGACGACGACGACGACGACGACGACGAGGATGACGACGACGACGACCAGGACGAGGATGATGACGGTGACGAAAACGACGATGACAAAGATAAAGACGACGACGAGTGAATTTCTTTCAACCATTTCTTTATACTGAACAATTCGTTTTGAATCGCGTCGGTAAACTGATGTTCGTACGGAAAACATGCTTTCACCGATTCAATGTTAAGCATCCAGGTTTCGTTCCAATCCAGAATGAAACCTTCGTTACTTTGCCTTTCTAGTCGCACCTCCTTGTTATCCACTATCCTGACTAGTTCGAAACCTTCGATCATAATTATATTAGCCATGTCCAAAGAAACGCGCACATAATTTAATCGCCATTCTCCTTGCGACCAACGCAACTGATCCGACGATAATTCCAAAAAGTGGTTCGGAGAAATATCTATGGACAAACTAATACCGCCAGTTGCCAGTACGTCTATCGATCGTTTCTGTTGCTCTTCAACTTTATCGTCTGTGGAGGGAAAATTTCGATGAAAATTTCGACCAATGTAGAAATGTAAAAGAAGTCCTAGGAATCCTCCAAAGAATCACCTAACCTTGAATGCTGATTGTCGATGAATCTCTACCTATGATAGATCGAAAATCTGCAGACTCTAGCCACAACTGTAAAAGGCGAAGATGTAAATTTGGACTCCACGCCAGACTGCTGCCATCCAAACTGATATTTATCGTTTCAGAAGTGACTGCTCCTTTGCACTTTCTTATAGCTAAAAACGGATGCGCCAATGCTTGTGCGTGTTGACAGATAATCGGTTCGTTTTTATTTAACGTTATCGCGCTTACACCTTCTGTCACAGCTACTAGTCGCTTCGCAATGTACTCCAAATTTGCAGTGTCCAAACGCATCATCACAGATACTGAAACAATTCATCGAAATATTATTATCAGATACTTCGATTGACATTCAATATATTCTCAAGTAGAATAATCGTAGACTGTACATTTGTATGTACGTTATTTGTACGTACAATTATTTTCTGCGATGAAGAATAAGTTGCAATTTGTAATCTTGAGATTTAACTGAACAACGTTATCCGATTCTTTGTTGTCTCTTCTCCTCGTCTCGGTTCTTTTTTTGTACCTTTGGCAACATCTACCAAACAAATTTTAATAAGTCCGAATCCAGAAGAACATTTAAGTAAACTTTAAATGTTGTTGCTTTCATTCACTTACGTGTATGCTTCTTCAAGGAATCTGGCAAGTTCCAAACTCCATTCGGTTACCAGAGAATCAATGGCAATACCTATCGCGTTGGTACGCGTCGTTGCTAGTAATACTCCAATAGACAAAGGCGTTCCCCATCGATGAGACGTTTCCGAAGGAATGCTACTCGACCCGTTTAATGTACAATACAAAGATTCCACGACTAACTCTGTGTTCCAATTGTCGATCGTATCTATTAGAATTCGTTACTTTTAATATTACATATTAGTTTGAAAGAAGTTGAGGAGCGCAAGTATCGGCGCAATTCACCTGTAAGCGTATTCAAAGAATATTTCACGTGAGATACACCGCACGAAGCTTCGTGAACGCCCAGTAACTTGATACATAAAGACGAATCGTAAAGTTCAGTGTTCATTCTTATATCTAACCATGGTAATTTATTTTTCAACGTTATGCTACCGACAGGCTTTGAAACTTCATTCTTGGTATTATTCAATATGCTCTCCCAGTCTTTATAATCGTAAATGATAGAAAGATTACTTATCTGCGTAGCAATTTCTAAACTATCCTGTTCCACCTGTATAAACGATAGAAATATAATCGTGTAGAGCGGTTTTGTTCGTTAACGAAATCCAGTAAACAACAACATGTAAACATAGCACGTGAATACCTTTGCATTTACTATTAAAGATCGCAACGTTAAAACGGGAAGTTTGCTACGAATTGACAGTCCATCCAAATTTAAAGTAAGACTTAACTGCGGACCACACGGTTGGAATTTCGTACTAATTTGTAGACTCTTCATCGTTCCTTCTAGACCAAGTACTACGCCATCTTCTCTAGTCGTAATTACAGAAGAATTCCCTATTTTCAGTATAAAATCCTAGAAAGATTTTAAGATAGCACGTTTAATCGCGTTAATTTGCCTTTTCTTTCTATTCGTCAACTGTGTGTTACCTTTGGTATAACTGGTGCTAATCGAGCCAATAGATCGTTAGATGAATCAATACCACGTGCATCTGAATACGAAGATGCAGCGTTAGTTAAGGAACTTTTGTCTTTGAAGAATGTAACGAGGCCTGCTCCACCGGAACCCTCTGTCTGCGTTATTCCGATGTACAATTTCTATAAATTAGATCCTGCTTGATTCCAATTTAATCCCATTTCAAAGGACAGTTGTTCAGGATCATCCATTAAGTGTGTGCTAAACACAAATAGCTACCGTTCAAAGCATTGAGCTAGATCATTAGATCGCAGCATTGCTCTACAGCTTTTGCGATTCGCGCGTTAAAACGAGTATAAGCTTGTACAATGTATATAACATTTGCATGCAAACATTTTCTAAGGAAACTCTACCTCTACCGAAAGTTCTCCTTGTGCCTTTAAAGTAGCTTCGGCTGTACCAGCAAAGGATATGTGCGAAATACAGGCGTCGGACGCATGGCGTAGCAATTTCATCGCTCCCCCTATAACAGCAGCGGACGCAATGAGTGTACGAGCTCCATGAACAACGCTACCGTCCAAAGTAACACTCTCCGCGCTTCCATTAGCCAACCAACCATCACCCAAAATTAGAAGACTTAAATTCTCTACGTGCACAGCCATAAACTGTAAAATTTCCAAACGATACTAATTACTAGCTCGTAAATAAAAAATTGATAGTTTTAGCGGAGAGACTAAAGAGACTATCACATCTGTTATCACGTTAGAAATCCATCATGATAGACATACTTGTACAAATGTTATAATTATAGGTGGAATCTTCTTCTTTCGAAAATCCACCAGCTTCTTTGGTTTTTTTATTATTCGTACAGGTTTCAAGGAAACATCTTTGTTAATTCTAACATCTTTCATTATTACAGCTAAAAGTTTTGCAACATCGCTGCTAAATAAACTGCTACGTATACCGACCTCTTCGACTTGCTGCAAGAAGGAAAAGGAAATTTTCGTGAAAATGTAGCGAAAAGAGATTTCGACATGTATTTGAAGAGATTGAGAATTTTGAAGGTGTTATGGAAAAATGATGTAAAGCACAATTCGTGTATATGTAACTTACCAATGTGAAACCATTTTTAGAAACGTTTACATCTCGCAGTATAAAATACGGTAATGAAATGTGGCCGACACGCAGATAAATTTTGTATCGTCTTTTCACCAACCATGCTAAAAACCTTGGAAGTACCCTAATGGATAAATAAAATAGTAGAATGAAATTTGTGCAACTATACAAATGACAATTCAGTATTAGGTGCATAACGATTAACCTTACCAAGTAAAGCTACAATATAGAGTAAAACAGATGATACACAAAGCGAGTAATCCGGTCATTTTTACGAATCACATAGTACTTTGGGAGAAATGCGATTAGAGCTGTTTAACAGCGATGAAAAACGATTTCTGTCAAAAGGATGAAACAAGGCAGTAACCTAACCAGACGAAATATGTACGCACTAGAACCTCACGATCGACAACTGATTAACCACACTATTCGTATTTACATACTCTTTTAGAACACATCGATATATCGAACGTTTCCAACAACGTATCTAAAATCGAGTATAGATTCAACCATATTTGTCGGTGATTCGAAACGCTACGTGCTTCACGTAGATTGCAATAAGTGAGAGAAAACTATCTTTAGGTATCTTCAAGTGTCAAATTTGATTTCCAGTCATTGTGTACATATATGTATGTACGTATCATATAAATACATATAAGAAGGAGGAAAGTGCTTAATGCTACGTAGGCTGTGCTACGTAGCTTGTTAAAGTTGACAGGAAAATCCAGAACCTTAACTGTCAATCTTTCATTGGGAGATCAAAAGCAAGGTTAGTTCATACGCATTATCTTGAAAATAGGATTTTTCACATAATCAGAAAGATCAAATACGACATAGGTGAAGGATAAAAAAAAAAATAAAAGCCTAGTTATTACGTAATTATCACTGTCCCGTCATTGCTACAACTGAACGATCTTAAAAAAAGAAGGTGGTGGACTTGAATGGGGCGATAGCATTCAACGAAGAGATTGAGAGAGAAAGAGAGAGAGGGAGAGGGAGTATGTTCAGTAAGAGGCGATTTGTAAAACAGTGCGAACGATCGAAGGTAAAGTTTGAACCCGTTCGATGTAAACACATTTGCAAGTTATTTTCACATGTTAATTTCATCGAGGAGGTTGGTCAATTACGAATGAAAATTAGGTTATAGATTGACATTTATATTAAAAGAATAACCGTAGCATGAACTTGCTAGGCTTGTAAGGTTAGAAACATTGAAACATTAGCATATAAAAAGGAAGTTGAGGAATGGTTGAAAAAGAATACAACGGTTGGCGGCATTAAAATATTTCATCAAGTATCAACATAAAGTTAAAGTTAAATGAAATTAGTACACGTAACATCAAGTCGATCTGCTGTATCGCGCGGTATTTCGTTAACCCAGCGGAAATTCTTCAAATTTGAAGGTCGAATCCCGTTTATCGTGTAATCGAGTGAACGTTTAGAGGAACGGGAAAAGGTAGGAAAAATCGAACGTTGGATGATTTTGTCGGAAACGCACGTGGGTAAGTGAAGTAAGGAAGCAGATAGGCGCGCATGGTCATGGTCGCTGTCACGGTTACATTCGTAAAGGTAAAAACGGCGGCGATCGACGCTTTACACGTTTTGCATACTCCGAGTAAGATTGGCAATGTGTAATAACGAAAGTATATTGATGAGAAATGAAAGTAGTATTTTTGTCGTTTGGTTTCCACACACAAGTCCAGAGCACGTTGCCATGCGAGTATCGATTCAAAATGTATTCCATCGAAAGGGACACACGACCGAGTTTTACCGAGAATTCTCGAGGAGAGTCGCACGACATAGTATGTACATATATCCTATCCTCCCAGTGCTGGACAAGTAGCTTGTACAATCTTGGAGGTTGGCCGCGCGACATCGGTGAAGTAACGCGATAAAAGATGGTGGGACCGAGACGGGAACGTGTTTCGTGAAGAGAAAAGAAAAAAAGAGAGTGAGATAGGTGAAGTAAGGAAGATGGACAGAGAAAGATCGTTGTCGCGGTGGACGAAGAGGAAGTGACAGCAGCGTATACAAGGGAAAACTGCGTTGCGTTGCGTTGCGTTGCGTTATGCTAAACGAAGGAACAAGAAGAGGAAAGGATATCGTATCAGGATGGTGTTCAGACGAGAAGAACGCTGCGTTCGTGACACCGGAACGCAGGAAATTTAGACGCGTGCACGGACTTGAGCTTCCGTTGCATCCACAGCAAGTGACAGGTTGGATCGTGATTTTAATCATCGTGATAAATACGTTCACGGTGTTAACACCCCCGATCGAGCCGGGTCTACGATCGGTTCTCTCGATCGCGATCGCGATAATCTTCTTCACCCATATTTCTTCCCATTTGGTCGTGCTTCTGTTAGACCCGGCGGATCCTCGGGTGAGGTCTCAACCGGCGAATAAAGTTCTGCCAGAATTCGATCGAGACAAGCACTCGCACGTGATCGAGAACGGAAGGTGTCACCTTTGTAATATAACCACCGAGAACAAAAGGACCAAGCATTGTTCCCTTTGTAACAAGTGCATCGTTCGATTCGACCACCATTGCAAATGGCTCAACAATTGTATCGGAGCTAGAAACTACTCGGCCTTTCTCGTTTGCCTCGTTTCCGCCATTCTGGCTAACCTCTTCGTCGTCGGTCTTTCCGCCACCGAACTGTCGCTCTCTCTGTTCTCCGATCGAATCGCACTGGCCGATCAACATCGTCATTATCGTCATCATCGCCATTATCAACTCGGTATCAACACCACCATGGAGAATGCCACCGTTCCCCTGATCCCCTTCTTCGTCGCCCCTGTCTCTGACACCACCACCATAATCGCTATCTCTGCTATTGGAATACTCTCGGCGATCGCAGCGGTACTTTTACTCCACTTATGCTTATTTCATGGTTACATCGCTTGCCTTGGATTGACCACGTACGAGTACGTACGAAACAAACGGGAAAAGAACTCTGTCGCTGCCGCGGCTGCGGTTGCGATCGCCGCTGCTGCCGCAGCTTCATCAACCACGACCACGACCACGACCAACAACACCAATACTACTACCACCGCCGCTAGCGTCGTCAACGTCGACGATCTTACTACTACCACCACCACCGAAAATCGTTCAAATACAATTAGAACGGCAACAGCAGCGGCAGCTTCCGTTCCACACGATTTCTGCAGATTCGTTTCTCTTCGAAACAACACAGATTCCAGCGATACTCGGATCGTTGATTTCCAAAACGAATCGAACCGAACTCGATACGATCGAGAAAACGAGAAGAAAAACTTTCGACTCTGTTTCTCGGCACACCGTCAGCTCGAACCACGCTCCAACGAGGATTCATCGGAGATCTCAACGACTAGTCCAAGTGAACAACCCACGCCCGATTTATCCACACCATCGCCGGTTTTTTGTTGCTTCGCCGCTATTAATTCTGTAGCTATACATTGTTGTTCGACCAACCGCAGACCGAACGGATCGAAAAAACGATCGAAGAACAACGGCGACGACGACAATTCTTTCGACTCGACACATCTCTCGACAAACTCTTGCGAAGCAGTAGAAAGAATTGGAAGATTTCTTCGAACGT